CAAGTATTAAAATCACAATTCGATAAACATAATGACAAACTAACTTGTAAAAAAACAGTAGAAGAAGAAGCCAAATTAGACTTCAAACAATGCACCTTCTCCTCTCTTGCAAAACCAAAAGTACTCAAACTAACAATAGGTTTTAGTTCAGTATGGAGCGTATATTTTGTGAGAGCAGTAGCTTATTGGATTAACTCTTGTCAACATGATTTAGACTTCTTTATAATATCAATTATCCCAAGACTTGTAAGAATCATACTCATACTCTTACAAAGAATGCAGTTGTTGAGAGAGAGAGAGAGCTATGAATTTCAGTATATTTCATCAAGTGAATTACAATGACAGTTTCACACTATATAGCTTAATGGCTCCCTTACACTCTAAGCTATTAGCACCAACAACTCTAACTAATAGCTGCAACAATTCTAACTAACTGTCGCATTAGCTAACAACCTTACTTACTGTTTTGCCATAGCACAACTAATCTTTAGACTATACTACCCTTTGGTCAATATTGGTTAATATCCCCCCTCGATCTTAACTTGGGTGGCCAAGCTTAAGATTGTAACAGTGCTTGACAAATGAAGGACCATGTAAACCCTTGGTTAGTATGTCAACAGATTGATCTTCAGTAGGAATGTAGCTGACTTCCTAAGTCACCTTGTTGCACTCTCTCTCTCGAACAAAGTGGTAATCGGTATCCAAGTGCTTTATCCGAGAATGAAACACCAGATTTGCACTCAATGCAATCGCATACATATTTTCACAATGAATGACTGGAGGTGTAGGCAAAAATAATTCCAAATCCTTTAAAATATACATGATCCAAGCTATATCAACAACACTGTGAGCCAAGGCCTTACATTCTGCTTTAGTAGAACTCCTGGAAATCTTTGACTGCCAAAATATAGGATTATTGCCAAGAAAAAACTATATATCTAGTCACACATCTTCAAGTATTCAAGTCTACGGCCCAATCTGAGTCTGAGAAGGCATTAAGACTTGCTTCTGCATCTGCTGAATATAGAATCCACTGTTTCGGTATACACTATGTGTCCTATATAGTGCCATACTTCAATGTTCCTTGAAGATATCTCAGTATTCGTTTCACAGCTCCAAGATGAATATCAGTTGGTGATTTCGTAAACTGACATACTAAATGTACTGCAAATGCAATATCTGGCATAGTGAAGGCCAAATATTGTAAGGATCCAACTATACTCCTATAAAATGCAGGATCATTGAGAGGAATTCCTTCTGTCACTAACAACGAGTTGTGTGCTTTGCATGGTGTTGAACAAAGTAAAGAAAATCAAGGATCGAAATTAAGAGGTGTGTAAAAGATAAAAAAAAACCGCAAAAATGACAACCCTAAATCAAAAGAGATCACAATAAATAAATGGCTATAGTCTCTGATATTTGCGTAACTCCTCACTTTGGTCCCTGATATTTGAAATCAATAGAAATAGTCATTGAGTTTGTCCACCATTAATCATTTTGGTATTTCCATAAAAAAATCTTCATTAAATAAAGCTAAATAAAAAAAAATACCCTCCATTTTTGTCACATCATTTGACCCATTGTTTATTAAATTGAGGGTATTTTTATCATTTTTGTCCTTATTTAATATATTTTTTTATGAAAAAACTAAAATGATTGATGATGGACAAACTCAAATACCACTTCTATTGATTTCAAATCTTACGGACCAAAGTAATGAGTTATACATATCTCAATGACTATTTTTGCTAAAAAAAACCTAAATAAATAAATGTGTGCATGGGAGAAAAGTAGTTTGCAGGAATCACTCCTTATTGCGTAAAAACAAAGCGGCTTCTGCACATTTGTTATTTTCCGCGACAGTTTATTCCTCTACTTTGCATTATACAGGTGCATGAAAATCACTTCATGTCGCAGTTAGATTCTTACCGGGGCCGGCGAAGCCCACGGCGACGGAAACCTGGACCTTGGCGTGGACGATGATGAGCTTGAAGGGAGCTTTGTCGCCGTCGAAGGACTTGAAGAAGTGGTCCAAAGTCCATTCCAGAGCGTACTGGCTCTGCTCGCTCTCGTCCGCCCCGATCACCATCACTTGCTTGTCTGCCGCCATTAATGCTCACCCTTCTCTCCCAAGTCCTTCACCGTCTTTCTTGTGTTATCGTTTCTCTCTCTAGAAAATCAGCTTTTTTTTGTCAGCTTTTGGAATAAGAGCTTTTCTTGCCGGCTATTTATACGAAGGCCTTGTGCTTTCAATGGAATCGGTTCGAACGAGCGAGCTTGCTTGCTTGATTCTTCATACTTGGTACAAACAGCGTCGTCTGATTTGGTGGATGTGAATATAGCTTAATTCCTAATCATTCAGGTTACCTCTAGAAAGAAACGACGGGCGGTTAAGGCAAAACAATCACAGATTGGCGCGTGAATATAGCTTAATGGTATTCCTGTTTCTCTGCTATTGGCAATGGATAATTAGTAATTGTTAATTGTTGATTAAGGCAAATACTAATAACAGGGTAAATGTATAATATGAAATTGACTAATCAAGCAACACCAGAATTTTTACTAGATCATATTATTATTATGAGTAAATTGTCGATTTGCCCCTTGAACTATCACCTAATTTTCGATTTGTCCCCTGAACTTTTTAATTGGAAAATTAAGGACTTAACTAATTTTTTTTGGCCGATTTGCCCCTGCTATTAATTTTTCATTCACCCCATCCAAATTTTTGTTAAATTGAAGCATTTGCACAACATGTAAGGGTAGTTTGGTCGCTTCACTTTTTAAAATAATTGAAAACCTTAGATTTCTAAAATATAAACCTAAGCAAATATGTGTGATTCTATAAAATTTTGTTCTTAAAATAAAAGCGAATGAACCTAAGATCACATGGTGTTACACAATTGAGGTTATAATTTGGCAAAATTATGAAAAACTAACGGTAAGGTAAATTGGCCCAAACATGAGTTTAAGTCGTTAATTTTCAAATAAAAAGTCATGGCGAAAATCGAAAGTCAAGTGATAGTTCAGGAGACAAATTGGAAGTTTAGCCTATTAGGATTAACAAGTAAGCTTGCTAAAATTCGTGTTATGGCTCTTGAATATAGCTAAGATTTACGCTTGCCCCTGTTGCATTCCTTAAGTTTCCTTTCTACAGTGAAAGTTTTACCAATTTGTTGGAGTGAAACAATTCTTGCAATATAGCCAAGTCTCCTAGAAAGGTAGCAAGCTGACAAGAGTTAATAATTTAGCAAGTAAGCCAACTCCTAGATAATGGTTCAAACAGCACAACATTAGCCGAAAAACCTAGGCTGAAATTATAAATGAGGGCTTATAAGGGTTTCTAGCAAGCTGACTCGTTGATGAACTCGAGATACATATTTTGCTGTTATTTGGTGGGTATTTGTTGGAATTAATGGAGGAGTGCACCAGTGTGCCAATTTTGGAGTTATGGAGTGCACCGGTGTGCAATTTTGGAGTTATGGGGTGTACATATAAAACACCAATGTTTATTTTTTTATTTCTTATTCTTATTTAATTAAGGTGATTTTTGGAAGTTTGGTAGATAAAACTTGGTAGTTGGATGTAGATATAAGATAAAACTTTGTGTTATGTGATATGGCCTAATTATCTCCTCGTAACTGTTAGAATTTAAAATTGAAAAATTTAAATATTTGAGGATATGGTTACCGCCTCAGCCGCTTGGCCCATGCAAAAAAGTTTAATAGAAATCCGATGGCCACACCTTTTCCCCTTTCACTTTAGGGTTTTGTGTGTTCATATCCGCGGAAAACTCCTACCTGAACACTTTGCACTTCTTTTCTATGGGGTGTGAAATTCAAAATTCAACTTACTTTGTTTGTTTTAATTTTTATTTTTTTTCAATTTTCTTCTTTCTGTTTGCTTTGGATCAAATATCTCAATTACCCGTTGGTTAGGAATTTAACATTTAATTCACAAAATACACAGAGGCAGGGATTTTTAAAATATTGGCCAGAACCCTAATTTGGGGTTGTTTTTTTTTTATTTTTTTACCGTTCGTATGTTTCATACTTATGGGTAACAAGATTTATTATGGGGCGTGGACAAATTTAAATTCAGCCTCAGTAAGATCGATCTTTTGTATTCACAATTATGCATTTTATTGTGTGTTTTATGCTCGTTAAAGTTAGCTTTCGTTCACGGTTTGGACTCCATAGTAATCCAATTGAGCCGAGGGCTATGGTTTTTGTCATACACGTTTTGGGAATATATTCTGGATCCTAACACCATGTAGTTTGATGATCACGCCGGTACCCCAAATTGTTTTTAACTAAAAATTGTAGCATGCGATGCGAGTTTGATATCTATTGTAATTGCCGGTCCTTGCGATCAGTTTTGAGATTTAAGGGTTTGATCATCTGTAAAGTTAGTATTATTAATTCGTCTCTTTGTCGTGATTGAATCGTTTGGAACAGTTTTCTGTTTCCATTTATATTCTCGTTTTGGTTTCAGTGTCTTATTTATATCTCGCAAACTTTAAATTTGTAAAACTTAGGGGACGGCTTGTCGAATTCTCGAACCAGAATTATGGCTCGGTTTAATTACGGTTCACGTTGAGTTCACACGGGTCCAGTAGGGTTCATTCGAGTTCCATTTCCACTGGTGAGTAATTCGCTGGGATTTCGATTGTTTAAATAATTGTCATCTGTGAGATGATTGTTGATTAAAATAAACAGCCTTAATAAAATTTCTTTATATAGTCATTTATGCTTTTTCTTCTTATTTGCAGTACCCCAATCCACTTACTCTGCTTTAATCTGGCAAAAGGAGTAGGAGTAGTATAAACGGCGCCCTTGTTTTAGTTTAGTTTGACGCTGCTTGTGCTTTTTGGGGCTCAATGCCTAGAATAATAATAATTTTTTCCTCGCTATCTAACACGTAATTATTGTAACTAGCTAATAACATGTAATATTTCTATGAGTTAGGTCCTAGTGCCTGTGACGAGGTGCGGTGAGATATCCAAACGGAAGGTTTACGGTCTTTTATCATTCAAAATTTTCGTCCAAGTGCAATTGGTCGTGGCATTTCTGATGACCAATGCCAGTGGTTGCTTCGGGCGGTTGTTGAGGTACTTTCAGTTGCTCGATTGAAAAAAAAAAAAAAAAGTCTGTGCTATCTTGTTCTGCTTCTTGTGTTGGTCTTGTCAATCTTTGGAATGGAAAACAGATGCTAGATCAATAGTTTCTACATAAATATTGACAAGTGTTGCATCTATCTCTCTCTTTTGATGGCAGCTAAGCCTTTTTGGAGGGCCTGATGACCCGGGGTTTAAGCTTTTCCGAGGTAGCCTATGGAAACAGTGTGGCATTGAGGTGGATGTTGAGGATGGTTCGTCCAAGAATGATTCGACTTGCGCTAGTTCGGCTCAGGATTGAATAAAGATGAAGAATAAATGTGTGATTTTGGACCTTGGTGCCGACTAGTGCGTGTAGTTAGCTTTGTTTATAAAAGTAGTAAATCCACATGCAAAAAGGACCAATTTGCTTTGGATTAAGGTTATGTTGGGAGCTATCTATGAAGTTTACTCATATGATCTGATATAAGCTATTCCTCATTTTTAAGTCTCCTATAATTTAACTTGAAAATATCATTTATTCTTCAAGTCGTATTTCATTTCTTGAGTATTATCATATATATTTATGAAACAATGAGCATTAGGAGAAGAATGCATTACCTGCGCAAAATCAACTTTGGTAAAAATCTCAACTTTTTGCTTTAAGGAAAACAGGCATTTGGCCTTGGTTGTTTATTTATGAGCCATTTTTGGGTGGTCGTACACACATTTGGCTCACTAATGGATAATGGCGTTGAGAAGGAAAAGAGGGGTGTATGATGAGCAATTGAGCCAACTGAATTTGCAGCTGGAATCCACTCCTATTCAAAGTTTGGAGCCTGACTAGACCTGGCAAAAATGTAAAGGTGCTCTTATGTAAATCTCACTGGAATACATATGAAAATAAAAAAACTAGTGAATTAAGAATGAACACAAACCTGCATAGAAAGCTTTGCTACAATGGAAGTAGAAGCATATGAAACTCGTAAATAAACTACAACCGATGAATGGAATAGAGGTAAAAGCAAGTTTCCAATATTAATCTGAGATAAACCTCTGTTGAACTTACATTGTATGAAATGTCACTATATTTTCAAAACACATACTACAAACCAAGCTAGCTAATATCTATCGACATTCATTTACTAATTCATGAATAAACCAGTAAGCAGGAAGTTTAAAACGAAACAATGAAGTGTACAAGTGTTACCATACATGTCCAGTGACTGATTATGCAGTGTAACTTTTGGCATGAGGTACCAGCTAGACAAAACAAGATTAAAATGCATATGATCCATTACCGACCACACAATTAAGTGAATTTTCACACATGTAAACCGAAATTTCATTCTGTTTGTACCATACTTAACCAATCCCGAAAACTACTGAGCATCGTCAACGTTAAGAGTTTCCATCAAGACCCAAGAGAAGAGATCAGCGCGACACGTGTTGATATCAGAAGCCAATCATAGCGCGACACACGTGTCAACAGCAGAAGCCAATCAACACAGACACGTGTCAATATCAGAATGAAACTAGAAAATTCTGAAACTAAAAATCATTCTTAGAATCATTCTCACAATATTTCCTGTCATTTATACTAAATCATTCACTTGTACTCACTAAAGGAGAGCTTGAACTCTATGTACTTGTGTAAACCTTCACAATTAATGAGAACTCCTCTACTCCGTGGATGTATCCAATCTGGGTGAACCACGTACATCTTGTGTTTGCTTCCCTATCTCTATCCATTTACATACTTATCCATACTAGTGACCGGAGCAATCTAGCGAAGGTCACAAACTTAACACTTTCTGTTGTACCGAAGTCCTCGCTGATTTTGTGCATCAACATTTGGCGCCGTCTGTGGGAACGACACTTATTCCCACTCTCTTCAGCTTTGTCAAGCTGGTTTCCACCATTTGTACACTCTTTTTTGACCAGGCATCCCTCTCCAACATGGGGAGTGAAGGAAGCCACATCACACAGAATGACACCCCTCTTGCACCTAGTGCGAAGCAACGAAAGAAGGAAGGAAAGAGGGTTGCTCTTCAAGCTAAAGTCGATGAGCTAGAAGCTCAGAACAACAAGATAACAATGAAGAATGAGGTCCTCCAGGAGCAGTATGAGAAGCTCTTTGAGACGCTCCATGAAACTAGGCGTACTCAAACACATGAGCTCGTTGCCCCTGTGGACATCAACCATCATCTGGGTGCCCTCCAACACGGAGGGTCACATTCCTTCGACATGGGTATCCCTGATGAAGAGCAAGCTAATCATCAAAACATTGATCAACATGAGACTTCTCTCAACTCAGCTGCTTCGATCCGAAGCAGGAGAAGTGGAGGAAGACACCTCCTTGCAGAAGGGTTGGAAGGATCGAAAGCCATTTATCGTGACTGCCGAGACTTCCTAAAGCAACGTCGAGAGAATCTCCTCCACATATGCTCGAAGATCAATGACCCAAGGGTTCCTGAAAAACTCGGTCCCCTCCCATGACCCAGGTTAGCTGCCAATCTAGGGAAGGAACAACAGGTCCCGGAGGAACATGAAGGTACATGGGACTCTGAGGTATTCCGACAGACTCGCCCTAGAAGTCAGTATTGCGAGTCCAAGGAAAAATCACACGCCCTTGCTCAAACTTTCCTACTTCAAAGAGGCGATGGAGACTTACGAAAGAAAATCCCAGTGGTACATGACTCCACTCAAGACCCCCTTGTCCTACAACTCATTGAGGAAGTAAACAAGTTGAAGGCCGAACGTCGGGCCGAGATACTTGACTGGAACCAACCCAGGCTTGGCCCTTTCACAAGGAGGATCCTTGACACCCCCTTCAAGCGAAGACAAAACAAAAGCTTGGTTTACAACTCTATACTGGAAGGGAGGACCCAATTGAACACCTTAACCTTTAAGCTTTTCCGAGGTTGCCTATGGAAAGATTGTGGCATTGAGGTGGATGTTGAGAATGGTTCGTCCAAGAATGATTCGACTTGCACTAGTTGTGCTCAGGATTGAATAAAGATGATGAATAAATGTGTGATTTTCGAGCTTGGTGCCGACTAGTGCGTGTAGTTAGCTTTGTTGATCAAAGTGGTAAATTCACATGCAAAAAGGATTTACTATAGGACCAATTTGCCTTGGATTAAGGTTTTTTTGGGCGCTATCTATGAACTTTACTCATATAATTGAACTTGAAAATATAATTTATTCTTAAGAAAACTAATTAAAAGAGTTTGAAAGCTTTGAGTTTTAATGATAAGGACAAAATAAAAGGTAGAGTGAATAGTACCAGAATTGATTTTTTTTAGTGTAAAAATGTGATTTTTCGTTAAAATGAACAGTACCGAAAGCTTTTCGTTAAAGTTCCCTTTATTTTTCAAGTCGTATTTCATTTCTTGAGTATTATCATATTTTCATGAAACAATGAGCATTAGGAGAAGAATGCATTACCTGCGTAAAATCAACTTTGGTAAGAATTTCAACTTTTTGCTTAAAGGGAAACAGGCATTTGGCCTTGGTTATTTATGAGCAATTGTTTGGTGGTCGTACACACATTTGGCTCACTAATGAGTAATGGATAATGGCGTTGAGAAAGAAAAGAGGGGTGTATGATGAGCAATTGAGCAAATTCTTGCAAGCTTTTAAGGCAAAGTTTTACAAAGGTCCTCGTTACTACCGACTCCTGCAATTTGCGACAACAGTCAGATGGTGTTGTTCCTATACCAGTACCCATGCTGGTTCAAGCAATAACTAGTTCATTAGTTGGCTACTTGAGGAACAAAAGCAGGTCTATATTCATAGCCTCTAAGGCCACCACCACACAAGGAAGCAGCTATTTCCTGACAGTTAATATGAAACTTCAGTGCAAGCCCCAGCGGATATGAAGAGCTCCTAGTACATCTGCTGACCAAATTTATGTCTTTGTGTATTGCTCAGTGGTTTTCCAAGTGCCTAAACAAACAGAAATTACATTTCGTGAGCAAACTGCTACCGTACAACAAAGTGTTTTAAATTAACAAACTCCCTTACCAGGTAACCAGGTCTTGTGCAAGCTTGGTTAGTTGCGTATCCGAATCAGGAAATATTACCCGATAAGCAAGGACAGCCTCCGCAAACTCACCAACACAAATGTAAACTGAGTGCAAATAAGTCAGTCTTCATCAGCGCAGTTATGAGTTACAGACATCAAAGAGTAAGAGGGAGGGTATATGTAACAAAGCAGAGAGCAACCATGAAGCACAAGGGTATTCCAACTTTCTCTTTCACTTTGTTCTAGTATCTTTCAAGGTGTGAATAATCACTCTCCAGAAATCTTAAGATGTATACTTCGTGTGCAGTATACATCTTAAGATTTATATGATTATATTTTGAATTTCTACTACTCTGATTTATTTTTGAGATATATTTTGAATTTCTACCACACTGATTTATATGATTATGTTCTTATCACTTCCAAGTTTTGTACTAGTTGTTTGACACGATAAGCAGTGTAGTTATTTCGGCATTAGATCCACTTATATAGGTTGGCATTCGGTCATATATTGGTACGTTTTAAGTTAGAATGGGTACGTTTCAATTTAGCATCGGTACGTTTCAAGTTGTTATTTAATGTTTTAAGGTGAAATGGGTACGTTTTAATTCAGCATTGGTACGTTTCAAGTTGTTATTGGTACGTTTCAAATTGACCTGAATACGTTTCAAATTGATTTCAATTTAAAATTCACATTTATATATGAGTACGTTTCAATTTAGCATCAGTGCGTTTCAAGTTGTTATTGAATGTTTCAAGGTGTAATGGTTACGTTTCAATTTAGGATCGGTAAGTTTCAAGTTGTTATTGGTATGTTTCAAATTGACCTGAATATGTTTCAAATTGATTTCAATTTAAAATTCACATTTATATATTTCATGCCGCCGAATAGCACTAATCTCAGTTCAAAGACTCCAAACTCATCCTTTTTATCAACAACTTTTATAT